TCTCATGGGCAAATATATCTGCAATATCAGCAGCTTTATCTCTGCTGTTTTGCTTAATTCGTACATATTGGATGCACAGAAAGACAAAATAAAACAGGATTCCGTGGAGACAGATGGGGGAATGTGCAGCCACTAAGTAAAGTAGCTCAGTCCTCTTCGATAATGTTAGACCCAGACTACTGGTGTCTGTAATGTGATATTTGCTGATGGAATAACTTAAATGATCTCTTGTGGAGGATAATGGCCTTTACTTGTCTGTGTGCGGGTATTGCTGCTGCATCTTCTCTGATACAGTCCGAAGATAACGGCATTAGTGTAATGAGGGATATAATGAAAGGCAAAACCAGGCAATTCTCTTTTTCCAACTTCTCAAATGTGATAGGGCGTGATCATTTACCAACACTAAACATGTCAGACAAAAGGGTTTAATGGGTTCACCATAGCTGAAGTAGCCACTACAGTAATCTCCATGGCCAGTTTATGTTTTCCTATTTAACAGTGTAGTGGTCGGAGGGGAAATTGAAAAGTACGCAGAAACCTTGGTTGATGTTGACCCATTCTTCGTATATCTGGCTCCATGTTTATCAAGTCAGGGATCCCACGTTTCCTGGAATGTCTGGAAAGCCTGGAAATGTAGAGACGAGTTTAAAAGCAGAACAAAAAATACTCCTTTTTAGGAGCTCTGCTTTATTGGAAATGCTGTAGACGGTCACATCTACATGGAACCTATTATTCAATCAGATTGACATTTGCTGTTGTGGTTGCTACTTGTTAATTATAGGTGCAACAAACACTTCTACTTTCTCTTATTTCAATAAGCTAACAGGTGAGAAGATTTGAACTGTTATTATGGGCTGTGGATACACTTCTGTGGAGAGAACAGAAAGTGAGCTAATGCAAAATAAATGCTGACTACCATTGTGAGAAAGTGCCGTCCTGTCAGATGAAGAAAAATAGGAAGGACCCTGCAAGTGTCTAAAATCACTCAGTACTGCTTAAAAATGGTCAGTGACACATTTTGTTCCGACTTTTTGAGGAGTAAAATAAATCTGGGCTCAAAAGCTCATTTAAGTTCGAGGTGTCCTAAATGCTCCACATTTTTGAACAGATGAACGGTATTATGTTGAGAGAACGGAAACGCCACAGTGTGTTAGACTGAGAGTTCATCAACATCCTGTTCAGGGACACAATATTGTGTATTGTGGCAGTGGTGTGTGTACACTGTACACTGTATCCTGTGTGTGTCGGTGAGAGAGGGGTCTTGTGGGCATATCTGTGGACCTCTGGTATGTGATGACAAACTGTGGCTTTCACCAGTTCTCTGTATGTTGTACAGTAGAGAGTAAGTAAGTCAAGTTTATTTATAACACAGCTATCACTGACCAAAGT